TGCATTGGCCTGGTCAGAAACTAACGAACGTATACTCCCTTTTCCCTCATTCATCAGCCACTGATGGACAATCTGGAATCTCAGACCTATGAAGTATTTGAAAAGGACCCCATCAAATACTCTCAATACCAGCAGGTACAGTGTGGGTTCCGGATTGGATCAAGCATGAAAATGGAATGACATGGGTGAGAATGGGTTTACATGATATCTTTTTTCCATTCCCTTAGGCCATTTATAAATGTCTGTTAGATCGAGTGCCAGAGTCTGAGAAAGACACCAATGTCCAGTGAGTGCTCATCCCACCATCCCAGAGGTTTGCATACTGACTTCTCTAAATGTTAGGTCAGCTTGACACTTCCCCTTTCCCTCTTAGGGTGCTGATGGTGCTGGGAGCAGGCCGGGGTCCCCTGGTGAATGCTTCCCTGCGGGCAGCCAAGCAGGCTGACCGGCGGATAAAGCTGTATGCTGTGGAGAAGAACCCAAATGCTGTTGTAACGTGAGTAGTGGCCTCTTTGCTGGGAAATTTGTCCCCACTGCCAGTTTTTCTTATCGATGCCCTCATTTGTATCATCTCTATTTTAGTCTAGAGAACTGGCAGTTTGAAGAATGGGGAAGCCAGGTGACAGTAGTCTCATCAGACATGCGGGAGTGGGTTGCACCGGAGAAAGCCGACATCATCGTCAGCGAGCTCCTGGGCTCCTTCGCTGACAATGAACTGTCACCTGAGTGCCTGGATGGAGCCCAGCACTTTCTAAAAGGTGCCTCCAGCCTAGGGTGTACTGAGTGTGGGAAATGGATTATGAGCTGGTGAGAGTGGGGATTCAGGCATCAACCTGAGGAAGAAGTTAAGGAATTGGGGAGAAGGTAGGTTGGCCTTAGTAAGTCCCTTAATAAAAGAAGTCTCTTTGAACTTGGTGTTTATGTCTGCAAAATGAGAGGTAGACAAGAGCTGACCTTTGCCTGAGGTCTGTGACTCCTAAAGCCAACATGCTATAATATCTCTTGGGCTTAGCTTTCATCAAGGTATCAGAGGGCTTTGTGATCTCATAAAAACTAAGAGTCACTAGATCAGAATATTTTAGGTACCTTCTAGTTTTAACCCTTCGTTCCAGTGATTGTAAATTAACTTAGAAGTGGAATCCCCCATGACAGGAGTGGAGAGTGGGTTGGCTTGGAAGAGTGACAGCTTGAAGCCGCCTAGATTAGTTCTAACCTGGGAGGTTGAGTCTTCAACTAGTTCAGACACACTATTTCCATCCCCTGGGAACTAACGTGACCCTCCTGCTCCGCAGATGATGGCGTGAGCATCCCTGGGGAGTACACCTCCTTTCTGGCTCCCATCTCCTCATCCAAGCTGTACAATGAGGTCCGAGCCTGTCGGGAAAAGGACCGTGACCCTGAGGTAAACAGTCACCCTCTTGTAGCATGCTTTTAGAGCTCTCCTTTAGCCCTTTTTTTTTTTTTTTTAATATCACTATCTATTTTCTTCCATTGGAGACGAGGAGGTGAAGGAGGAGTTGAAGATGTGGTGAATGTGGAAATGAAAATAATGTTTTTATATTTTACATGTCCCAAAGGCTTGAGCCTCTCCTGAAGAAGTAGGTGTTTCTTACCTACCTTATCCAGCTCTTGCTCTCTCTCTCTCTCTCGGGACAGGCCCAGTTTGAGATGCCTTATGTGGTACGGCTGCACAACTTCCACCAGCTCTCTGCACCGCAGCCCTGTTTTACCTTCAGCCATCCCAACAGAGGTGGGTTCCTCCAGCTGGGTGTGTGAGATCTCCCTCTCCTGGTCCTGCCCTTTCTAGACTTATCTTTCTGGTTCTTGCTCATGCTCTATGACTGACCCCTTGTTACCACCCAACTCTTCCCTGACAGATCCTGTGATTGACAACAACCGCTACTGCACCTTGGAGTTTCCTGTGGAGGTGAACACCGTGCTGCATGGCTTTGCAGGCTACTTTGAGACAGTGCTTTATCAGGACATCACTCTGAGTAAGTGTCTGGGTCAGGGGGTGGTGGGCTGAGAGATGCTGCCTGGGCAGCATATACATGTTTCATTTAAAGTCACTGGGAGCCCAAGAGTTGGGGAATGGGCGTCTTTGATTACTTGTTTCTATGTTCACTTGTTTCTAAGTTCACTCCTCAGTCTCAGCAAAAGGCAGTCAGGGAGATTTCATTTTTTTTTTTCACTATTTTGTCCACACAGGCATCCGTCCAGAGACTCACTCTCCTGGGATGTTTTCCTGGTTTCCTATCCTCTTCCCCATTAAGGTAGGAATCATCTTTAACGATTCCATAATTAAAGAATAATTTTGGCCTTTGGTGTTCTGTTCTTCAGCTCCTCCTAGGATGGTACTTGGCCATAACATGTATTCTGCTTTCATGTGCTCTTGGGTCCCTATTGTGGATATTTGGATAGCAGCAATGGTCTTATACTTGGCTTCCCTACATCTCTACCTTGAATAAGAATCATTTTTTGAAAACTCAAACCAGGGCCTCCAGGGTGGCACAGGTGTTAAGTCTTACTCAGCACACCGAAGCTGTCAGCAGCCACTGTAGCAAGAGTTAGATACCCAGCCAGGGAGCTGACCCACACGGTGCAGCAGACCTCTCCTGATTTACCCACTGCTCCCCTCAGCAGTGTACTTCATTAGATCTGCCTGTTCTGCTCCCCGCTCTGTCTCTGGTGAATGCTTTAACCCATCCCTCCAACCTCTGGCCTGTACTGCAGTTCTTGGATGCATAAATAAAATAAATCTTTTAAAAAAAATTAAACCAGATCATCTTTCCTGATCAAAATCCTCCAATGCCTTCCACCGCCCTTAGGATAAAGGTCCAAATCTAGAATGTTCTTGTCAGAGTTGGTGTGATCTAGTCTTAGCCTGCCTTTTAAACTACTGCTCTTTGATTACATTGTTTCAGCCCTGTGGATCTTTTGGTTCCTCTAATACTCCATCTTGTTTCCTTTCTCAGACTCTTACACCTTTCTTTTTTGCCTTGCAAGTTCTTTGTTCATCTCTTCAGCTAGCTTATCTTCCAGATCTGCTTAAACATTCCTGTTGCCATTTAACTTCACCTGACTTCCTAGACTAGGCCAGCGCTCCCTTTCATTGTCCGGTTCTGATTATTAGTTCTGATAGATTTCAGATAAAGTTCATGAGAGTTGGAATGTTATTATTTTATCTTCATACCCAGCTCAATACATTGCCACATGTCATGCATTAGCTCTGCCCTGAACTTCCCTTTCTTTCTCCTTACAGCAGCCCATTACAGTGCGTGAAGGCCAGACCATCTGTGTACGTTTCTGGCGATGCAGCAATGCCAAGAAGGTGTGGTACGAGTGGGCTGTGACAGCACCAGTCTGTTCTGCTATTCACAACCCCACGGGTCGCTCATATACCATCGGCCTCTAGCCTTGCCTGCAAATGTCCAGAATTTTGGAAGCAGCTTTGGGTTCTGTTCCCGTAGCACAGAAGATGCAGGTACATCTGTGGGCTGTGATTCCCTTTGCCCATCAGAGAAGAAGCATTTCAGTCTGCTTTCCCACCTTATGTAAAGGTGGGCAAAGGAAGAGAATTAACTGCAAGGCTTAAGCCGTCAATCTGTGAAGACTTCAGGCCAGCATGTGAAGATTTAGTGCTGAATCTGAAGCTACTTGATAGCCACTCAGCGTCAAGCACTTCCTGGCACAGACAGCCCTAAGAATATGAGGATTGAACACATTTTCAGCCCTTTCCTTTCCCATCTCTGTTCCTGTTTTGATGGTTTGTGCAGGAAGAAAAACAAATAAAGTGAAGGGATAGCCTTTCCTGCTCCACCTCTGTAGCCCTCTGCCTTTCTTTCCCACACCTTACTTATACCTACACACATGTGGTTCTGTGCTCTTATCCAAGTCCAGGAGGAGTCTAGCTTTAGTTCCTATTTAGGATGCTTAGTGGTGTCTTATGAACTCCTGGATGGATATAAGCCTTTCTGACTGACTACAGAGAGGTTTTGTCTGTTAAGACCTATGATTAGGCATACAGTTTATAGTCATGGAGGAAGGCAGTAGTGAGTGAAGCCACTACTGAGCTGCTATACTGCAACTCTTTTTAACCTCCTGGGAGAGAAATTGGAAGCCATGTAGGCATTTTCAGCAAGAAGTTTCCCCTCTGATTAAACTAGACATCATCTAGTATAATTCTTCGTTTTACAAAGAACAAATTTGAAATTGATAAAATACTAACTTGTGAATCAGACAAGGACTGTAACACCGGTCCTCTGGCCCCCCCCAAACCAGCTGCCTTTTGGGCTGCTACATTAGGTAGCTCTGGGCCCCTGAAGCACTTGGAAAATGAGGGTGGACATCCATTCTTTCTCTTCTAGAGGACTGAGGATATTACTGAACCTAAGGAGTCACTTGAGAAACTCAAGTTCACACTGAGGGAGTTGTGTGGGGCACAGATTTAAGCTAAAGGTCTGTGAAATGCTGCATCAGTCAGTGATCATAAGTCAGTGTTGAAGATATCAGTGTAAAGACTTGGGCTCCCCAGGTCCCGGGCACTGAGGAGAGGAGCCGTAAGATAACATCGTGTAGAGCCGCATAGAGCCCGTTATATATAGTAAATTGGGTACGTGGGAGGTAGCGTCCCTCCCAACGTGAAGCAATTGCTGTTGCTTACCACAAACCTGTTCTGAAGAAGACCGACGGGTCTATCTGCAAATCAGCATTGGGACGCTAACGAACGTCAGTTGTGGCTTCGCGTTGGCCCCGCCCACCGCGCTGGTGTAGTCAAGCTGAGCGCGGGGAGCTGGGGAGGGCAGGGCCTTCCCTCTCGATCTCTGCCCGGGTTGCCCCGCCTTTCGCAAGTCATTTAGCCAATGAGAGGCCGATGCGCGGCCACCAAAGGAAGCTTTCTCTTTAGCCGGAGTCTGGGCGAGGTTAGCCTATCAATGGGAACTTGGCGGTTGCTAAAGTACTTTTGAGTTAGGCTCCACCCACGTTTAGGACTTTAGCCAATGAAATCTGTGCTTAGCGCTGTTGCCGCGAAACCCGTGAGATTAGTTCCACTGCCTGAATATTTCAGCGCCTGCGCAGATTGAGGAAAGTGCTGGAAGACAGCGCGCCTGGCGCCATTTTGCGAGAACCGGAGTAGCTCCGGCTGCAGTGCTGCCTTTACTTCGGAGACTCTGGGACACAGCCATACTTCGCGTCACCTTACACACCCAAAGGAACGGAGTGAACCGGGATTCCCCTTGCGGGGACCCGGAACTGGTGAGAAACCCCAAAACCCCGTCCCCAGCGACGTCACCTTTGCGTGACGTTGCCGCACGGCGCCACCCCCTGACGTCACGGGCAGAAAATGGCGTCAAGAGCAGAATCGGGCAAACTTAAAACATTTTTTGTTTGCAGTTTGATCTGAAAGTGTTCACTGCCTAAATGTAGTTCACTGGCATGGTTTTAAGGGTCGCCTTCCGCGTGACTTTGTCCCTTACAGATAAAGATGCCATGTCGAGGCTCCTAGTGACTAACTTTCTGGTTCCCACAGCCCTGAGGCTTTGGGGTAGTTATCGTTGGGGAGAGAGCATGGACCGTCTGCGATCTGAGTGAACTCCATAGGGTTGGTGTCAGGTCTTAGTGCCACCACTCAGATGAGAGGAATAGAGTTCCATCTCAGTCTTTAGTTTACGCGAAGACTGATGTTCACTATTTTGACCTCGTGAACGAACTCTTATTTTTTGACCACATATTCCGTGGTAGTAGAGTGTATAGTGAATTCAGGTTTTAGCATGGGGACTGGCCTTCGTAGAGGTGGTGCCAAACCGTCACTTAGAGGACCTTATTTTTAAAGGGTAGCCTTGGCTTGTTACGCAAAATGGGGAAGGCAGTCCTTCAAAATATGGTTTGGTGTTATGGTACCTGTTCTTAGTTAAGCATTGTTTTGCCCACCTGAATGACCAGACCCAGGACATGGGGCTACCATCACTCCTGAACTCGGGTTAGTGAATTCCACCTAAATTGGGCTGACAGTGATTCTTCTCCTTCCCCCTCAGCAGTGGGGCTTGAGTGCTGACTTGGGTGTTGACTGCTAGGGCAAGGCCCAGGCACTGCCATGACTATGGCTCCCTAGTGCAGCTTTTGGAGCAAGGATGGAAGACAGCACTATGGTGTTTTAGTGGATAGACAACTGCCAATCTAAAAGTGCATTGTTTATGGGACTTTATTGCTTTTTAGAACATCTCGAAATGCCATTAAACCCAGTGAGATTTCACATTTCCAAAAGTGCCGGTCTTGTACATGTATTTGTGCTTAAACACATGTCATCCATTTGTTCCTTAGTCTGAATGAAAACTTTACTCCAAAGGTGGCTCCTTCTCCACTTTTGGTAAAAGTTTTCTGCATTTGTTGTTATACCTATCCTGTACTAGCATTTAACACAGAAATGTACCATTTGGAGTCAAAAAGGCAGATTATCAAAAAATTTAAAAAGGGATTTTCTGACATTTGGAAAATGTAACAGATTTGGTGGCCAAAATGACTGAGAGAAATAGGGTTTGAGTATCAAAAGCTATTTTTAGGATTATTTTCTACAATAGGTCAGACAGTACAATTACAATTAGCCTGGTTTCTGGTATTTTGAAGCCTACACTACATCTCACATCTGGAAGCCACACAGCAAGGTGTGACTAATAGGACTGATTCTTAGGTAAATCTATTAGAACATTAATTCTCCAGGTGAGTTTATATTTTACTGTAGACATTTTGGCAAGCTGTGTCCTTTTAAAATTTTCCTTTAAGGTTAAGTAAAGAAAGCATCTATACCTATAGTGAATGTTAACCTTTGATTGCTAAATAGTGTAAATATCGTTATAAAAGATTTATTACTGGCTTTAAGATGTACCTATTTTTTTTAATTAATATAATAGTTTATTTTTCATCATCTTGTGCATTTTTCCATCTCAGTTGTAATCCCCGTGGGCTTCCCATCACCAAATCACCCATGTGCCATCATGATAGTCCAGTGCATTTCCCTCCCTCCATTGTTTTTGATCCCATTCCCCACTCCACCCCCATAAAATGTCTCTGGTATATAGCTGTTCATTGTTATTATTTTCTTGCCTGGTCCATTATACTCCTGCTATGATTGAAACCATCTGGATTTTTCCTTTTCTTTCTGGCTTATTTCACTAAGCATGATCTTCTCCAGCTCCATCCATGTTGCTGCAAAAGACATGTGCTTATTTTTTTTGGTTGCTGAGTAGTTTTCCATTGTGTATATGTACCACATAAGATAGACCTATTTTATTTTTATTTGATTTCCATTTTAAGCCTTAAATAAGTAATTTTTATTGTTTTCTTTTTCCAAGAATTTTCTATCTATAACATGATTAGTATAGTACCTGGCAACAGTAGATCCTATAAATAGTACTGGTAATGCTTTTATTACACTACCAAAGTAGCCTGTGGCTCTGAGGGTAACCAGGACAGTATCAGCGGATGATGCTCCCCACTGCTTTTTAAAAATTATTTACAGTGGGGGGCGGGGGGCAGAACAGGCAGTGAAGTACACTGCTGAGGGGAGCAGTGGGTGAGACAGGAGAGGTTGCGGTGCATGTGGGTCATTTCTCTGGCTAGGGGTTGAACTAGTGCTGCAGTGGTGGTGATAGTGTCATGGTGCTGTGCTTTAAACCCTTGTGCTACCAGGGAGCCCCCCCACCAGCTGCTTTATAGAGTACAAAGTTCTGGGCTTCCCTGGTGGTACAGGGGTTAAAGTCTAAGTGCTGTCAAGCACTTAGTTCCATCTGCCAGATTGCTGATCCATATGGTGCAGCAGACCTGTCCTGTTTGGTCCAGTGTTCCCTTTGGCAGTATATTTCAGTAAATCTACCTCCTTTACTCCGCATTCTGTCTCTGGTGAAGCCTCTCACCCCACACCTCTGACCTACACCCTAATTCTTACATGCATAGATAAATTAAGATATTAATTTTAAAATAAGGATAAAGTTCTGTGGATATATAAGTCTGATTATGATTAACCATCCACAGAAATTCTTCAGATTAGTTTTTTAAAAAACCACTTTTATTGAGGTATAATTGATATAAAGCTACATACATTAAAGTGTTCAATTTGATGGGTTTAGATGTATATAAAGCATCTATGAAACCATTACTCCCTAAAGTTTCTTGTGCCTTTTATAATCCTTTCTTTTTAAAATCCTTTCTTAGTGGTCCTTCCCTACTTGCTTTTATCCTTGGGCAGCCACTCACTAATCTGCTTTCTGTTACTACAGGTTAGTTTGCATTTTCTATAATTCTGTATAAGTGGAATTTATGTACATACAGCATGTACTCTCTTTTGGAGAGTAGGGAACGGTTTGTTTTTCTCACTCAGCATAATTATTTTGAGAATTATCCATGGTGTATAAAAGATAATTTTAGATTAGTAATTTTTAAATACTAACTATTTCAGATGAGTAATTTTAAAAATTGATGTTGTTTGATATCTTCTGTTTTTCTTATTTGACAGACAGATGTGAAAACTTGGGGACAGAGAAGTCTTTCCCTTCCTGCCTAAACAAAAGGGTGTTTTGGGAGGGATTGGTTAAGCCTGTCAATCTTTCCAAGTTAACTAAACTAGTTGGTGATATTTGAAAGATGCTTAATTACTGTTTAGTTGGGGGTGTTGGAGAGGAACTTAGGCAAATCAGTATTCTGGTGTTGCTCTGATTTTTAGTAATGTGAAAACCTTTTTATTTAAAACATTTCTATGGTTTAAGCTTAAATCAGGTATTCAGTTTAAACAGTAGAATGATGGTGTACAATGTTCATTGTAGAACATTGAGGAAATAGTAATTTTGAGTACCAGCATTTTCTTTTCACAAGACAAGGTCTGTTTGTATTTTGCCCCTGAGATATTCAATCTTTTTAGATTCTTGACCTTTTCTAAACTACAAGGCAGAACTACTTCAGATGTAGAAGGTAGAAAAGTAAATCTAGGACCTCCTGGGTGGCCTAGGGGTTAAGTCTCAGCACTATCACTACTATAGCCTGAGTTCGATCCCTGGCCAGGGAGGTGGCCCACATGGTGCAGCCAACCTCTCCTGCCTTTACACGCTGTTCCCCTCAGCAGTATATTTCAATAAAGCTGCCTGTCTCTGATAAATCTTCTCAGGCCCCATACCTCTGGCCTACACCTCAGTTCTTCTATGCAAAAAATAAGTAAACCTAGGGTAAGCAAAGTTCCTTTGAAGTTTAAGAACCAGAATTGTTTATCCTGAAATTTGTTTCCTGGACAGGGGGAAGGGATATGTGGGACGTTTGAAGGGAAGAAAAAATAAATGAGATTCTTAGGTCTCTGTGTCTTCTCCTTAGATCTGCTACGATGGCATCCGATGACTTTGATATAGTTATTGAAGCCATGCTGGAGGCTCCTTATAAAAAAGAAGAGGTAATATTACCCTGCTCCTGAAATTAAGAAAAAATAGTTGTGGGTCACCAGCCAACATTCTGTGACTCCTCTGTCCTTGTTTATTGGGTGCAGTGGGCGTTCATAAAAGGCATAGTCTTCTAGTGAGCTGTGCTGGAGACTCGTGTCCAAGGGTCATGCTTTTAGAAGTGGCTCACAAAACCATGAGGGACTGAGTGGGCACATAATGTGGTGGTGAGAACAAGTGCTTTGCTCATAACTTTCAGTGACAAGAGTGCTTCAGACCTAGCTCTAATTTCTTACTTTCCTGGAAAAGTAAGATTTCCTGCTCAGAATCTGTCTACATAATTGAGAGTTTTGATTTCTTGAGCTTTCTTTAACCAGTGGAGTCTGTGTCTGCCACCTTGTACCTTGTGACATTTTTCTTGATGAACCCCTCAGGACAAGCAGCAAAGCAAAGAGGTTAAAAAGGACGGCGCTAACAGCACCACTGACAGCTCCAGTGCCAGCAGCAGTGGGCCCGGGGCCAGCAGCTCCAGCGGGGAGGCCGGCAAGTAAGTGTTGTTCGAAGGCATGCGTTACCTGCTGGGGCAAGGGAACACCTTTGTCCCTGGAGCACCACCCAGTATGGAGAGGTGGTTGTTCATAAGACTGCTGGCTTCAATGAGTCGTGGTCACATAGCTTAATGATCTTCTGTTCTCTGCTTTCCATTGTATGTCTGTGGCTCAGACCTATCATTGATAGATTTCGTTTGAATAAAATATCAAGAGGACCCCTGACTTGGAAAGACCAGCTTTTGTTTGGCTTCGGGGACAGAGGGATGTTTAATAGCCACATCACATGCCTGACAGCCTTCAGGGCTGTGTCTTGTACAGTTGTAGGTGTTGTACAGTTGCTGTGAACTACCCCATGGTCATCATCTGGGTTTTCTGTTTCACCACACCCCTACCTTACTGTCTTCCTTTTTCATTAAGCAAGATGGGGAAACCTCAGCAATAAAAATTTCACTGTCTTTCACAGGAAGAAGAGGAGGAGTCGAAGTCATAGTAAAAGCAGGGACAGAAAGCGCAGGTCAGTAATTCTGGGGTTGTGGAGTTTTGAGAATATTATGAATACACGGATACGAGGGGAAGCTATACACTAAAGAAGAGGTGTGTTGTTTTTTGACAAGCTTATGTGTGTCATTCTCTGTAGTCGTAGTCGAGATCGGGATCGGCATAGATGGAGAAAAAGTCGGAGCCGAAGTCGAGATCGGCAGCGTCATCATCACAGCTGGGATCATAGACACAGTAGTGAGTCACGAAGTCGGGACCGACGTCGGGAGGATCGTTTGCGCCACAGGAGTCCACCACTTGCCACCGGGTACTGCCTTTTGCTAAAAAGATCACCATCTTTAGGTTATAATCCGAGTTAAATGTTTGAAGTATCCTGTGTGTGAGGGTGCTTATAATCCCCAGGAGATCCAGTTATTGGAGGGTGATATGAAGAATTCACATGTGAGGTGAGCTAGATTGTTTTTTTTTTAAGATTTATTTATTCATACAGAACTAGGGTACAGGCCAGAGATGCGGAGGTTGAGAGGATTCACCAGAGACAAAGTGGGGAGCAGAACAGACAGATCGACAAAGTACACTGCTGAGGGGAGCAGCGGGCGGGTCAGGAGAGGTCTGCCACGCCATGTGGTCACCTCCGGGGCTGGCAGGGATCGAACTCATGCGGAAGTGGCTTTTGATTCTTAGTGCTGTGCTTTAACCCGCTGCACCAGCAGGGAGGACCCTCAGTTTTGTTTTTTTTAAAGGTTTATTTTTATTTATGCATACAAGAACTGGAGTGTAGGCCAGCAGTGCAAGGGAGAGGGTGTGTGTTAGAGACAGAGTAGGGAACAGAACAGGTGGCTCTACTGAAATACTCTGCTGAGGGGAGCAGCGGGCAGGTCAGGAGAGGTCTGCTGTGCCTGTGGGTCAGCTCCTTGGCCAGGATCAAACTCATGTTGCAGTGACTGATGATAACTTCATAATACTGAGACTTTAACCCCTACTACCAGGGAGACCCATGATTTGTTTTTGTTTTTTTAGTGATGGAAGACCCAGCATCGGACCAATGTGAGTAAAGTTGGGTGGCACGATTTTCATTTTCTTTGCTTTCACTTCCATAGGCATCGGTATGGACACAGTAAGAGCCCTCACTTCAGAGAGAAGAGTCCTATCAGGTGAGTTGGTAATCAGCTTTTTTTTTTTATTTTAAGATTTATTTATGCATACAAGAACTGGTGTATAGGCCAGTAGTGTGGGGTGGGTGGGGGTGGGGTGGAAGTATGTGTAAGAGAGACAGACAGAGTGGGGAGAACAGGCAGATCTACTGAAATATGCTGCTGAGGGGAGCAGCAAGCAAGACACGAGAGGTCTGCCATGCCGGTCTGGCCAGGGGTTGAACTCATGCTGTAGTGGCTGCAGATAGCTACACATTGCTATGCTTCAACCAGCTGTGCCACCAGAGCGGTCCCTCAGCTCTATCTAGGGCGTTGAAGTTTGAATAAAAAGGTATTGGTTGGGCCCTCCCTGGTGGCGCAGCGGGTTAAAGCGCTGCACTAAGAAGCTTAAGCCACTTCCGCATGAGTTCGATCCCCGCCTGCCCCGGAGGTGACCACATGGCGCGGCAGACCTCTCCTGACCCGCCCGCTGCTTCCCTCAGTAGTGTACTTCGTCGATCTGCCTGTTCTGTTCCCCACTCTGTCCCTGGTGAATCTTCTCACCCTCCGCATCTCTGGCCTGTACCCCAGCCTGTACCCCAGTTCTGTATGAATAAATAAATAAATCTTAAAAAAAAAAAAAGGTGTTGGAGGGTCCTCTTTGGTCGCCTATGGGTTAAGTCTCAGCATTATCACTGCCATAGCCTGAGTTAGATCCCAGCCAGGGAGCTGGCCCACATGGCACAGCAGACCTCTCCTGTCTTGCCCACTATTCTTTCAGCAGTGTATTTCAGTAGATCCGCCTGTTCTGTTCACTCTGGTGAATCCTCTCACCTTCACACTTGTACCCTACATCCCAGTTCTTGTATGCATAAATAAGTAATTCTTTTTTAAAAAAGAGTGTGTTAGACTCATACTGTGGAAATCTGTAGTATTTGAGGGTAGCTGAAGAGTGGTGGCCAGGTATTTGGAAGAGAGGTTTCCACAAATTTCTCACTTTTAGGGAGCCAGTTGATAATCTGAGTCCCGAGGAGCGTGATGCCCGCACAGTATTCTGTATGCAGTTAGCTGCCCGCATTCGACCTAGAGACCTGGAGGACTTTTTCTCTGCTGTTGGCAAGGTAGCCTTCCTGCTTCTGCCACCCTCCCCCTTTCCCCCCCACCCCTGCCCCTCCAGTGCTCTTCTGAGTAAGTTATCTTCTGTCCCTCCCCCTTCCACTTTATGTCCAACTCAGGGTTCTTTTGTTTCGCCTCGGTTAGGTGCGTGATGTACGTATTATCTCAGATCGGAACTCGCGTCGCTCTAAGGGTATCGCTTATGTGGAATTCTGTGAAATCCAGGCTGTGCCGCTGGCCATTGGACTGACCGGGCAGCAGCTGCTGGGCGTGCCGATCATCGTACAGGCCTCACAGGTGGGCAGGCTGAGAAAGTGCCATGAGGAAACCAGATTGAAGGAAGGAGGTGTGGGCCATGACCCAGCATCATCCCTTCTTTCCCCAGGCTGAGAAAAACCGACTGGCAGCCATGGCCAGCAACCTGCAGAAGGGCAGCAGCGGGCCGGGGCGCCTCTATGTGGGCGCCTTGCACTTCAGCATCACCGAGGACATGCTCCGGGGCATCTTCGAGCCCTTTGGCAAAGTGAGTTGGAAATGAGGGACGCCTCTGAAGGGAATTGGAAAAGGTTGGAAGAGTGAGTCTGGCTGGCCTGGATTGACCCATTGCTGTGGATCACGACGGGCTTATGGAGCCTAAGTCTCCTGCTATGGAAATGAGGCTCCATCTCTGACACTGCTCAGTAGACGACTGAGACACAGTGAAATCGTGGGATTCAGATTAAAGTTAGTCAGGAAAGTGTTTTGTCTTTTGTCTCTTTTTAAAAAGGAGATTTGAAGATTTTAATGTAATTAGTTAGCCAGAAAGTTAGAGATAGTTAGAATAGTCTGGGTCAGAAAGATTAAAGAGTGTGGATTTGCCTAAAGACCACTAGTGATTTCTCCCTATTCCACAGATTGATAATATTGTGCTGATGAAGGAATCAGATACAGGCCGCTCTAAAGGTTATGGTTTCATTACGGTGAGTCTCTAATCTTTAACTTTTTTATTTTAGTTTGGGTTTGCCCATTCTTCTGATTTTTTTTTTAATATTTATTTATTTATGCTTATAAAACTGGGGTATAGGCTAGAGGTGTGGTGGGTGAGAGGATTCACCAGAGTCATCAGAGACAGAGTGGGGGGCAGAACAGGCAGATGTACTGAAATATACTGCTGAGGGGAGCAGCGGGCGGGTCAAGAGAGGTCTGCTCTTGCATGTGAGTCAGCTCCCTGGCTGGGGATCGAGCTGGTGCTGCAGTGGCTTTGGAGAGCCTCATAATGCGGTGCTTTAACCTGTTGAGCCACCAGAGAGAGCCCCCACTTGTCTGATTTTGCAGCTTAGCTTCATCCTCCTCCTTTAGGAACTTAGTCTAAAGACCCCATAAACCGGGTGCCTGAAGTGTGGACTAGCCTTGTGCCCCTTGAGATGAATGCATTGCTTGAGATCTTGGCTTTATCCTGCATGCTCAGTGGTCCTGGTGTAAGGGTGTCCAGGAGTTTGACCAGCTTCCCTGATGCTACAACTTGTTCTGTGGATAATAGTAATGAGGCCAGGCTGCAGCTTAAAGGGAGGCAGGGGTGTGGAGAGTGGCAAAGGGGGGTTTGGGAATAGACTTACATATATGTTTTATAGAATTGGTTTATTTTCATGAAAGAAGTGGGAATAGGAAGTTACACTTCTTGGCACTATCCCATAAGAAGCATGTTATGCCTTGAGAAGTATCTTTATATTTAAACTCCACGTATAGGGGTTACGTTCCCTAATATGGGCAGGTCTCACCTTTTCCTGACACTTCAGCAACATTTTTTCCAATACCCATAACCGGTTCTTCCAGCCCATGTGACTTCAGGCTGAGGACTGGCTGCCAGCCACAAAGTCTGATAGAAGCTGATATGTTCTGGGCTCAGTCCAGGCAGTATACACCCCACACTTGCCTGCAGGGCAGAGGGGAGGTAGGTATTGCTCACCTCAGTAGTATCCAAGGGCAAGCCACCTACACCATTTGCCTAGGAACTCTCAGTAGCACTTGCCAGGCCTTAGGGCAGGTAATAACAGCGTAAACAAAACCAGCTGTGGTGTTTGCGGTGGCACTTCCAGCTCCTTGTGTGACTCAGGTGTGGAAAAGCTTCTGTGGGACCTTCTTACAAGGTCAAAAGGGGGCCTCCCTGGTGGCGCAGGGAGTTAAGCACAGCACTATGAAGTTATCTGCAGCACGAATTCAATCCCTGGCCAGGGAGCTGACCCACATGGCACAGCAGACCTCTCTTGTCTCACCCACTGTTCCCCAAAGCTGTGTATTTCAGTCGATCTGCCTGTTCTGCTTGGTCTCTGGTGAATCTTCTGTTCCCCTAGCATTTCTGGCCTGTACCCCAGTTCTTCTACATAAAAATTTAGAAAATCTTTCAAAACAAAACAAAAAATAGTACAAAGGGAATCCTCTTTATACCAGGCTGTTACTGGTGCTCATAAAAGAGATTAGAGAGTAGAGGCCCCCTGGTGAGCAGGTCACTGAATCAGCAGGACTGTTGCATGTGGGGCTCGGAGGTGCAGCCCTGTCGTCTGCACTGGAGTTCCATCCAGATTGATAGTGCTTGACTAAGAAGTAAGACTTCCTAAAAGCTGAAATGAAAGCCCAGGAATACTGGTTGCATCTATTTTTCTTTGAGTGCTTTTGAAATAGCCTGTCAGACTAGGTTCCCTACAGATATACACCTTTTGCATCATTAGGTTCTTAATGGAATAGAAGAATTAAAAACTGATTGCCATTGAGTCAGTTGGCAAAGGTCCTTTTCAGAGACCCATGGTAGGGGGAGAGAGAACTTAAGTCGCATTCCCTGGGAAAGAAGTTTGTGCTGCACTGAAAATTGAGCATGCAGTTTTCATGGAATCATAGAGCTAGAGAGTGTTAATGTGGCTTGGAGAGTTTCTATGATCAGGAAGTGACTGATACAACCTGGATTTCTTACAGTTCTCTGATGCTGAGTGTGCCCGGCGTGCTCTGGAACAGTTGAATGGCTTTGAGCTTGCTGGTCGACCCATGAGGGTTGGCCAAGTGACTGAGAGACCGGATGGTAGCACAGACATCACTTTCCCCGATGGGGACCAGGAGCTGGATCTGAGATCAGCTGGTGGACAATTGCAGCTCTTGGCCAGATTGGCTGAAGGTAGAGTTCTCTGAGAGTGAAGAGGAGTTGGATTTTATATCAAGGGTTAGGGCTTTTCCTCACCTTTTCTCTCCTTTTCAGGCTCTGGAATCCAGCTGCCAACCACAGCTGCTGCTGCTGCTGCCGCCCAAGCTGCTGCCTTGCAGCTGAATGGAGCCATCCCTTTGGGGGCCTTGAACCCAGCAGCTCTAACTGGTAGACTTGGACTTGGGATATGGAGAGGAGGGATGGGACTTAGAAAGAAGGAATCCTATGTGTCACTAACTCGCTGTCCCTCTCTTTATTCCAGCATTGAGTCCAGCCCTGAACCTTGCCTCCCAGGCAATAGCCTCCCAGTGCTTCCAGCTTTCCAGCCTCTTTACCCCCCAGACCATGTGAATCTCAGGGCCCAACTCATTTTGTCTGTGGTTATTTTTCTTTCCATTGGCTTCTCACTTAACCTCTTCTTGCCACAGGTAAGTCAATGGCACAATATACTGCCGCCCTGTGCCTCTGGGTCCTGCTATGTTCCCTTCTCCAAATCTATCCTTCCATGGCCCCTTCTCTCCTTTCTGTGGACCAAGCCATCTTGAGAGCATGGACATTGACTCTGGGGGAAATGGGGCCACCCTTCGAAACCAAGAAGAGCTCCCGCCCACGGCCCACTGGGAACAGACTCTGCTGAGCAAAGCTGCTAACCGAAGAGGACAGAATTTCCATGCACATTGGATACTTGTCTCTCCGTATCTCATCTCCTGGATTCATCGCCCTTCCCACCAGCTCTTGGGACTTCTCCTTTCCTCCCCCACTGGGAAGGCCAGGGGGCATTAACTGAGGGAGCTCACCTCTGCTTTTCCTCTACCTTTACTCTGCAGTCTGTCAAGGAAAAACCCCTAAGACTTCTGGCCCAAGGAGTTTGGAGTTTTGTGTGTGTGTTGGGGGGGGGGGGGTTAACCTTAAAGGTGCTGGATCGTTGCTGTGAAAGAGCCCTGGGAGATCACAGGGGCATGTGCATTTTGAAGCCTGTCTTAGAGCTCAGCTTGGGGTCAGAACTACTACTGTGAACTCAGCATCTGGCTGGGTGGCGTGGGCAAGCTCCTTCCAGGGATTTTAGTTGTTTTAGGGGCATTCAGGAGTTTGATGAGAGATGGGATCCCTTTCCAACACCCTCCGTCTCCCTTTATGTAGTTATCCTGCCTTTGACCCAAAGAGGGGGGATGGAGGTGAGGCTGCTACTCTCCACCACTTTCCATGTGCCTCTGCCTTGGGCTTAACCCCAACTGTAAAAGCTGCTCCTGTCCCCCACGTGGGTACATGTGAGTCCTTCTCACTGGATTTTATACCCTGTGTCCGTGTACATAAATATATATAAACTTTATATAAAAGGCAAGCCCTGCTGTCGTGGTAGCTGCGGCCCCCATCTGTGTCGTCGCAGTGTGTCTGTCCGATGTCAACTTCTTAAAAGCCAAAAGCACGAGTGGTTCTGGGGATATAAAATGTAATGCCATTGTGTTTTCTTCCTTTTATTTTCATTTTGTTTTATCTAAACTCTGGAAAGCAAAATGAACTAAGGGGTCCTCCTCCAGGTGTCTTCATCTTAAGCTCCAAACCTACTTGCCCACTTCCGAGACCCGTCTGTGCCTCAGGACAGACCTTGTCTTTCCACTAGGTGGCAGTGTGATAGCAGCACATTCTGCACCCTCTAGGGGTGTTTCAAAAGCTTGAGGGGTTTAGAGACAGAAAAGTCTCCTAAGCCCACCCTTCTTTCCATTGGCCTCTGTACCACCTTTAGCCGTCTTTGTAGAAGGAAGTCAAAGTCCAATATCTGAGGAAGTTTTGCATTTCACGTCAGGGCTCCACGGCTTTGTGTCTACAGTTGTTTCGTGGCGAGTTCCTTGAACTCCTGCTTTTACGTGGCTCTTCCTGGCACCACCACCCCCACCCCTCAATGCTGCACAGGCCTGGAATCAGTGAATTCCAGGGAGCTGAGTATTTCAGGAATGGTGCTGCTGAAAGGGAGGCACACCTGCCTGCTTTGTAGGACTTCTAATAAGAGTTTGGCAGAGGGACCTACAGAGAAAAAGGTCTAAGGTTGGGGCAGGACTCTGTGGGGCTCCCATTTCTTCATTCGTCTCTATGGCAACAGTGTTAAGACTTTATTGTCATGCTAAAAATATGGATAATTGCTGTTAGGTTTTAATTTGTCAGCTCTCAGACTTCTAAGCTGAGTGAAGGCTTATTGGTGATGTTAGCTTCTCAGGTTGCTTTTCACGCTGAAACAGTAAGTACTTGTAGCCTGTGTGTGGTATAAAAGGCCACTGGGTCCCTGGTCTAGTTCCTGACTTTTCTAGGCTCCTGCAGTCTCACCTGCTGCTGCTCTTCCCATTGCTCCCACCCCCATCCCTTCCCTATCCTAGTTTGCTTTTTGCAGCTGGGGGAAGGGAAGGGAGGATACATTATTTTTAGGTAGGAGCAGCTGGCGGTGGCCCAGTCCCCCTATGCTATTGATTTGGCCATTAATGCACCCGGAGAAGCGCAGTGCGGACCATTTTTGCTAGTCATCCTGGGGCGATGGGCCTTCTGGCCGTCTTGAACTCGGATATAAATCTGCACAGGCCTTGCTCTGCCCTCTTCAGAGGGCTCCATCTTTTGCTTCCCTTATGGTCCCAAACCTAGTTTCTTTGGCTTGCACTTTGGTCCCCTCTACCTCAGTTCCTGTTCCCGGTTTTTCATTCCTCATGCAGCTTTTTGTTAAGAGAAGCAGGTGGAGGTGGGGAAAGTCGAAGACGACTACTCTGGGAAACTGATACCCATTGGAACATAAATGACCCATGAGCATATAGTTAGCAAATTTGGGATTCCAACCCAGGAAGTTTGGCTTCAGATCACATCCTGCTTCTCAGCACCACTGTGGAAGCCATTGGAGTTGTGGGAAAGAATCACTTTCTGTCTTTATACCCTAAAATTTCTACTTTTGTATCTGCTTATCTTGTTCTTTCTTTATTCTAAACCCTTTGTCTTTTGGTCAAAATCCTGTCCCTGAAGACAGGATTTCTGAAGCTCTCCTAGTCGGAGTTGGTTTGACTTACAGATCTTAGCCTTTACTTACAGTTCCTTGGTTGTATGGCCTGATGAGGCCAGTCTTTATTGCTTTGCTTTGTATATATTAGATGTCTATGGAATTCATTCCCTTTCTGTTAAAGTCAGAGCCGGGCTCTCCAAAGGCGGTCTCTTCTAGCCTGCTTTCCTCAACAGCCTCATCAGTTCTTCATTCCCCCCAGAGAGGAGGCAATTTTACTTTTTGGTGTTACCATGGTAGCCTTTGATGCTTTCTGCCTAAAAGTGTTTCTTGCAATCTACCAGAGACTGATGTTTCCATGCCAACCAGGTGAAGTCAATAGTTGTGAGCTGGATGCAGGGAAGGAACTCTGGTCTGAGAAGTTGTGTGTCTGATTCTTCTGGCTTCAAGCATGCCTTCCCCCTCTCAGCTTGGCACCCTGTGATAGAACTGGTTTGCTCTGAAAGTATGCTCCCACAGCTCTGCCAGTGAGAAGCAGGCCCACCGACCTAGGTCACGTGGGAAGGTAAAGAGAAGGAAAGAGCTGATCAAAGATCACTTTTTAAAGTTGGATGAGTTCTGTTTGCTGTCCCAGATGATCTGCTCTCAAGAGCCCTTAAGAAGTTGGCTGAAGTTACTGGAGTGCCATTAAGCAGTTATTTTTGAGGGCAATGGGTAGATGGATGAGGTGCTTGAAGACTGGAAAGGAGCCAGTCAGTGCTGGATTTGCAGAAAAGGGAAATACTGACCTTGGAAATCAGAGACTGTCAATTTTTTTGCCAGTGTTCCAGAAGGGATGGGGACTTCAATCAGTTTTGAAGCATCTCGAAGCCTACTTGCTTAGAATGAGTAGTGCTGAGAATCAGCCTCTTCCCAACACTTGAGCCCAACCAAGACAGGTGACCAGCCAGCAGAGGGGCCACGTTCTGGATCTGGAACAAAACTGCACAATTGAGATCCTTCTTTCATCACCAAATAGCTGAGTAAGCTTGGACATTGCTTCATTTCCCAGCACCACTCTGCCAAGCCTCCTCCTCTGTAAAAGGGAAATGATACCAGTAGTGTACCTATCAGGGATGTGGTAGAGGCTTGGAACTTGTCATTACCACTGCTGTCATTCCCATTCCTCTGGGTGCCTACACACTTGGCTTTCTACTTGACCTCATTCTCCTACCTCACTTCAGAGTGTGCTCAAGATTACTGGAGAGAACTGAGGGTGGAGGAGGAGTAACAGTAAAACTTTATTATTGTTTCTGGACTAAATTCTCAGGTTTGGAAGGCCCTGAATCACATACTACCAGCCTAGCCAACTGGTCCAATCTCTTAAAGCCTGAAATTCTTTGTAACGATCCGATTACAACCAGATCACTTTGCAAAAATCAAAGTGAGCCCCCCAGATATCTTCAGGATATCTGGGGCTCTTTGCTTCTTCTGATGGAAAATCCCAGAGCATTCTCTTAATAGCCCTCTGCTGAGCATCCCCCTTAGCCTCCCCACAAGCCTTCCTATCATTGCATCTGCCTTTGCGGTCTCCAGAGCCTACCCTACTGGGGCAGTCTCCTTTCTGGTAAGTATTTTGAATCGGCACAGGTCCTCTGCCTAAAGACAAGTTCTAATTTGAACATAAGGTGGGAAATTGTGCAGTATAATACTATTACTTAGGCTTCTACTGTGAATCTTCCAGTAAACAACAAATCCAGTAATGAGTTCCCTGTGAATCCTGTGGAAGGCATGTTGGACCTTGTGAACCACAACTTAAATTTGCGTCTCCTGAGTGGCACCTTGCTTTAAAAGATTAGCAAGCTGGGGCTCTCCCTGGTGTTGTAGCGGTTTAAAGCCTCATTATGAAGCTCTCCAAAGCCACGAGTTCAGTCCCCCAACAGGGAGCTGACCCACATGGCTTGACAGACCTCTCCTGACCCGCCCGCTGCTTCCCTCAGCAGTGTACTTTGTCGATCTGCCTGTTCTGCTCCCCACTCGGTCTCTGGTGAATCTTCTTACCCACCACTACTCTGGCTTGTACCCCAGTTCTGTATGCATAAATCTTAAAAAAAAAAAAAAAAAGATTAGCAAGCTGCCTAGGGGCCCTGAGTAAGGGACCAGGACATAGGTTGTAAAAACCATTACTTCCACAGCTCATTGGTATCTGGCTTGACAAGTTACAAAGATATTTGCAATTTTATTTAGTGCTACAAATAGTAGTAGTTTCATTTTATAGTTGGGAGTGCTGAGGCAGAGGTTAAGAGTGACTGTACATAAACCTCCATCCAGAAAATAGCCTGCTGCTCCCTAAAATGCAAGGCCTTGTTGAATGTGTTTTCATACTTGTGAGTGTTGTGTGTATAAGGCCACCAAACTGGAGGCCTGGCATCAAGAAAAGTAGATGAAAAGAGCCCTTGAACTTAACCATCAGAGAGCCGAGATGATAGACGTAGGACGCCTCTGTCTAGTTTTTGGGCCTCGAATGTGCCATCCACCTCAGGTTTCATGCTCTGTGTATGAAGTTTCTCTGCTTCTGCATGTGGCAGATTGCCCATCCTTTCCCCTGATCATTTGCTCATGTGGCTTCACATGTGTTTTTCCTTCTTTCACCCACCTATCTGCAGTCTACCTCTTCAAGGACTACCTCCTAAAAAAGGTCGTCCACCATTTAGGTTTCTTCTCATAGTTCTAGAGTGCATGATGCATTTGCATAGTCAACGTGGCGTGGTTTGCTGCTGTTTAGGCCACAGTATTGCAGTCCCCACCTGGGCCCATCTCTCCAGCTCAGTTGCTCACTGCTTGAGGGCAGGGGTAGTGACTTACTGTTTTTGTTTTCTGATAGGGCCCAGTGCCATTGCTGACATACTGCAGATCTTAACAGAGAACAAGCATTTGTGAGTGAAAGAAATGTCTAGGAAAAAATTATTTAGACTGATGTGGATTGGAGCTATCTTATATTAATTAAGAAATGTATCTGGGAGTGACGGTTTAACCTGGAGATATGCTTCCGTGACTGGCAGCCTTTCAGTAGAGGAGGGGCCCCTGCTCCAGACTGGAGAAGTAGGTTAGATGCAGCAGACTTAAAGGTTCAACTGTAGCAGAGCCCAGAGTATCCCTGGAACTTGCTTTCTGGTCTCTCCTCTTACCCCTCACAGGAGAGCGCACACAATCCATGCCCTTAGTCCATAAGGACATCTTGTGGGCTAGAGGGGTGGAGTGGTTAAGGGGTGGGTAGGGGCTAGACTGGCAGAGGAACACAGACCCCAAGACAATTGCCACCATTAAGAGGGGCGTACCCTGAGAGCCCTTTGCTGTTCTCTCACGCCTGCCCAGATCAGCAGCTGGGCCCTATTTAGCCTTGACCAAGGTGGAGAGAAGAATGGCCTGACTCTCAGAGGAGACCCCATCTCTTCCCAAGTCTGCTAGGAGCGTGGCTTCAGTTTCTGTCTGTTCTGAGCTCTTCCCTGTAGGCGTCTAGAGGGAACACACAGATGGGTCGGGCTGATGGGACTGACTGAGTTGGTGGGGGACTGACGGGGGGAGGGAAGAAGGTTTGTGGTTTGTGTGACTCCCCTCAAGGGCAAGTCATGCCATCCTCCTCAGTATGTATCTTGTAAGCTTCTGCCACAAGAAGGGCACTGGGCTTTCTTGTTCATTCTCCTCCCACCACATTTAACCTGAGATGATACTCTGCTCTGCCTCTAGAAAAATCCTCCTCTGACAGCAGCCATAACATGCTCAGTCCCAGTTCTTCCACTCCCTCTCGGGTGGCTGCCTCTCTGCCTTCTTCGTCTGCCTATTCCTACTCTCTCTGGTTCCTCTCCTTTCTTCGGAACACCAAGGCTTTGTTCTGTATTACTTAGTTTTTACACAGTTAATATATGATCCAAGGTAGTAAATTTACTACTGTTGGTAGTAAAGGGGCATATAATGAAAAGTAAACCTTGCGCACCTGTCCTCCACACACCCAGGTCCCCTTCCCACTGGCAATCAGTACTACCTAGTTCGTAATTTGTTGGCTCACGGGGCCCTTTGGAAACCTGATGAGATTTGTGGACCCTGTCCTCATGACTGCGCAAACAGACTATTTCACAGGAATTACAGACCCTTAAAGGCTGCATGTGGTATGAGACTAAGGATCCCAGCACATACTGCACCCTTTCCCTGTGTGTCTCCCTTAGTATACTTTGTGGGTCCCTGTGCAAAATGAAAATGCAGGACTCCGGTTCAAAGACTTTCAAAAGAGCGACAGCAGAGCACTGAACTAAGTGTGCAGCCCTGTGTGGCTGCACAGGTGACACATCCATCAAGCTGGCCTGAAGCTCAGCCTGGCTCAAACGCTGCCGTCTTTATGGTGATTATGTACATGTCTTGCCTAACTTGTTCTGAATTCCAGACCCAACTGTCCAGGGAGCTGTTAGAGCTCTCCATATGGATTTTTATAGCATTTCAAACTCTCTCCAAAAAGGAGCCATTAATCTCGCCTCCTATATCCCCTAAACTTACCAACTTCCCACAACCTGAGACTGGTCCTCCTCTTTTTTTTTTTTTTTTTAAGATTTATTTATACATAAATAAATTATGGGGTACAAGCCAAAGGTGCAGGAGAGGTGAGAGGATTCACCAAAGACAGCGGGGGCAGAATAGGCAGATAGATGAAGTACACTGCTGAGGGGAGCAGCGGGCGTGTCAGGAGAGGTCTGACAGGCCACGTGGATCACCTCGGGGCGGAGCATCAAACTCAAACTGAAGCAGCTGCGCTGGCTTGCAATGCTATGTCCTAACCAGTTGCAAAACCAGGCAGGGCCTGTCCTCTTTATGTGCAGCCATTCAGTTGCCAAGCCTCATCGATTCTGATTCTCAAACTCATGCTTTGTCTTCTCACTGAAGCCTTCCTGAGGAGGGCCTTTGTCCGCTCCTAGCGACCTACCTCCTCAGGCCTGCCTCTGCTGCTCCAGTCCATGCACACCTCTCCCAACTTCCACTTCCCAAAGGCTCGTGTTCCTCCCATACATGGAAACCTTCAGTGACTCTTGCTGCTTACAGAGTTGGACACAAACTGCTTTGCCTGGTATTTAGGTCCCTTGCAGTGAGGTACCAAAGCTTTTTCATGCTCCTCTCTTAGCCCTCCTCTTCATGTCCCTGAGGTTTCAACCCAACTGTGGAGCCATCTGGTCCCTTAATGGGTCCAGAGTGTTTTCCTGCATTTTCAGATTTGAACTACCTCCATGGTCCCGAGTTTAGAGCTTGCTTACTCCACCATATCCATGTAATTTCTCTCATCCTCTTACACAGTCGCTGCTCATTACTCTGTCCATTGGTCCCTGCATTTCTTCTATTTGTCTCTTTCCCTGCCCCCATCCTTCCTGAAAGGGGTACTTAGGTAAAATCGGTATAAAATCATCAAGTATGTTGTAAACTTGGAGAATCCCAGCTCTGTTGCTTATTGACCTCGGGTTAGTTAAACCCTGTTTCTTCTACAGCAATGGAGGTAGTAGCGCCTTATAAAGTCATTAGAGAATTAAATTAAGTGAATAAAGTGCGAAGGATCGTGTTGTAATTTCATATGATCTCATTACCCCCTTGCTGGTTCCGCCTTGGCTCCTTCCCAGTTGCAAGGATTCAAGAGACATCTCATTCTCTTGCCATCAAATTCTGGGGACCTGTGTGGGGTGCAGGAGACCTGTCAGGTACTCAGGTAACTATTGTAGGGGTGAGGGGAACTGCTGCCTCTGCTCCTTTGTTCAGACTCATGGCTCAGGCAGCAGCAGACGTGGGCGTCCCCAGGGGAGGCACTGACAGCTTCAATTCTCACACAGGCTTTGCAGGTGACAGCTGGGGTGCTGGGGCCCTGCCAGAGGAGGTACAGGCTGATTCCATCATGCCCCAGCTGATGAGCCTCCTGGTGGGAGGGGGTTCCACTTCCAGTCCTCTTCCGGGTCTTCTTCTTGCAGAATAAAGTGTGGTAATGAGGTGAAGGCCTGGTGTCTGGGGACTTGGTCCTAGTGTAAGTCGTTGAATTATTTCTATCAATAATAGGTCCCTACTCTCTAGGCCTTTTTCATCAGCACCCAAGAAGCTGCAAGTTGAGCCTTTGGCAAAAAGAGACATTGAACCCAATTACCCATAAGGCACCTTAGCCTGGACAACACCAGGACTAAGTTCTAGAGCCAGCCTGGAGGTCTGCGTTCCCTGCTCCTCTGGCTAAAAGAACAGAGTACAAGAGAACAAGTGCAGTAGAAAAATTCTTTATTGAAAAGGTAAGGGTGGCCCCCTTGCGGTGCCTCCGGGGCCAAGCCAAAGGGGAGTTACCACCAGCTGGCTCTTCACTCTGCACAGCTGAAGGCAGAAAGTCTGTCCACACCTTACTTTTAATAACCTTAAAGGGGAAGTGCAGTGGTATAACGGTATAATGGCAGGTCACAGAATCAGTTCTCAAAAATGGCACTTCCAGGCCCTTGACTTTAAGGACTTCTTAAAGGTAAAGTGGACTGATACAGCAGATAAAGCCGGAATGTTAAGGGCAGAGTCTCTGGGAACGATATCCACGTCTTTACCTTTATGAATCTCTTAAAGGTGAGGCTTATTTGTGCAGAGTACAAAGATGGACAGCTGTAAAGGAGCTACAAAGCAATTCTCCAGTTCCCGCTTCTTTACAGAAGAGGTGGTCAGGTGCAAATTAAGAAACAAAACACCTTGCAGAACTATTTCCTTCCAGACCTGCCGCCCCCTACAGGTCTGCGTCCCCGGCTTCCAGGCGTTCTGGGGCCCAGAGGTATTGAGGACGCGTGGTGGCAGGGGTGGGGGACAGCCCCCTCCGCAGGCACGCCAGGGCATCCTGGGAGTTTTTGGTTTTCTAGACGGTCTTCACAAAGGAAGCCGGACAGGGCAGGGCGGGGCGGGGCGAAGGGGGCGAACAGAGGCCGCGGTGACCATGGCGACCGCGGTGACCATGGCGACCGCAGCTCAGAGCACGGAAAGGTCGTGACAGGACCTAGAGCGCTGCTTTAAGAACTTGGCATTGCGCGGCACTAGGTTGGCAAGGAAGCGCTTCGCCTTCTTGGTGAGGCTCTCCCGGCGCGTGGGCGGCGCGGGGCCCTCAGGACTGCCCGACTCCGGCCGCTGGCCCCCCAGGTGGCTCCGACCCCGCCGCAGCCGGATCTGGCGCACAGCGCCTTCGAAGAGCTCCCTCGTGTTGTGGTGCAGAGCAGCAGACGTCTCGATGTGTTTGCAGCTCAGTGTCCCTGCCAGGTGGCGGCCCTCTGTGGGAAGGAAAAGGCCCAGGGATGGGTCTGGGGAGCTACCCAAGGGGGGAAGTGAATCTGGAAACTGAGAGAACCAGGCAGGGATCACTTGCAAAGAAGTGGTAGCCTCCTGGGTGGGAGGGAGAAAGGTGTCATGGAAAAGAGCCCAGGGGACGGCTGGGGTTCTGCCACCCCCTAGACAAGGGTATTGAGAGTCTACCCTTAGCCTGGAGCTAAATGAAACTGAGTTTGTGCATCCTGGAAGGTTTTTAAAGGCTGTAGGGAGAAGAGGTGACTGGGAAGGAAGTGTCCCAGATACTGCAAGATGGATGAGGTTCAGTATACACACCCTCCAGTGAGACCTCCCGGGAGCGGGCCAGGTCGCTCTTGTTCCCAACGATTATGACAGGCAGGTCATGGTGGGGCCTCCCAGCCCTGAGGCGAAGTAGGGTCTCTGGAACTTTGGAGAAGCTCCTTCGGTCAGTGACTGAGAAGACGATGAGAAAGGCATCCCCGGTCTGAAGGCAGTGGTCCCGCAGCCACCCCCCTGCATCCCCCTGCAGATGGGCAGAGTTGTAGAGTATCAGGACAGAAGCCTGGGAGAACCTGTCCAGCACCTCCACATCAGGAATGAAGACCCAGAGACATGAGGGAGAAATTTCCTGCTTAGGACAGCAGAGCTATTTAATGGTAGAATCTTCATACCCAGTGTGTGTGTGGAGGAGGATAGATTAGTAAATGAAACCCCACAGAGAGAATTAGGAGCACAGGATCATAGACTGGGTTAACCCATCCTACTTTCTTATGCTTAAACTTTTAATTAAAAATGAATGCCAAATACTTAATCAGTACAATTTCTGCCTGGCAGTGCTCTGCCTGCCTGTGGCTGTGAAGGCGACACTCATTTTCTTTCTCCTTGTCCTAATAAACCCATCCTTTAAAAATGTAAAAAAAAAAAAAAAAAAAAAAGTGAATGCTTTCCAAGTGTATGTAATCTAGCCTCTGATTGCTGCATCGTAACGATTGATACCCAAATATTCCGGAATCTTCTTTCCCTCCCTTTCCCTAATACTACCGAGACCCAAGCTCTTATCCTGTCAGATCAGACTCCTCCAGGTTGAACAATGGATGGGATAAATTTCAATGTTCAGCCTGGCTTGTATCTGCAAGGTTTGTCAAACTCAGATCCTGACTTTCTTCCAGGCGAGAAGATCCTGGAAAGACAGCGACTCTCAAAGCCCTGGCGTGTACATTGGTACCAGCCTTGCTCCCTCAGAGGATACTGTGAAAGGTACATACTGGAGCCAGAGCCTGCAGTCCCACCAGACTTTGCCCTTCCCCAGCTCTCCCAGATTTCATTACCTGCTTACAGCCACATCTGAGTTCTCACCTGTTCCCAGATGTCATAAACAACTAGAGTAACTTCCTCCTTATCCACCATGATGCGTCTCTCATAGGTATCCTCTGTTGGGAAATCCAGAGAATAGAGCCCATCAGAGCTCTGGAACACTTGTGACACCTGGTAGCCAGGCCTCAGGGACCACCCCCTCCCCCTATAGGGAGCATAGCTACGGAAAGCATTGGAGAAACTTCTCTTAGGGTCTGGCCTCCAGGGGCTGCTCATGCCTTGAGATCTTCCAGACCTAACTAGGTCTCCAGAGTACTGTCAGTCCTTTCAGGGCTCCCCAAATACCTGGGTTCTCTGGCTCATGAGCACTGTCTCCCTGGAGACCACCAAAAGTGCCTGCCAGCGTGCTCTTTCCCACGCCGCTCTCCCCCACCAGCATGACCTTGAAAATGGCATCCTTTTGGGTGGGCGCTGCCTCTCCTGAGCCCAAGGAGTCAGAAGAGCCAGAGGACGAGGCTTGAGGTGGCCAGTCAAGTTCATCTACAGCCTGGCCCCGTCGCAGCTGGTGCTTGTAGGGCACAGGCATACTGCCTCTTCTTCGGGGGGCCCCTGGAGTAGGGGATGGTCCACCCAGGTCCAACCCTGCCAACAGTTTCTCTGGCTTCTTTAGCAGTGTGGCATCTGTTTCTGGGGGGGAAGGGCAAACAAAGAAACGGAAGCTATGAGTGGGGAATGCCCAGCCATCTGCCCAGGGCTCAGTGCTGGCTGCTCTGTCTTTAGAGGCCCAGCCAGGCTCAGCTGATGACCATGACCCAGAGGTAGCTGAGAATCTTTGGTCCGACTTCTTACACTGAACTGTCCCTGAATTCATGGGGCTGCAAGGAACTGACCCAACAGCTTGTCCAATATGATTCCAACCACAGCCTGTGCAAAACATTCTCCTTGCAGGGGAGGTACCTATACGCAGGCTTGCACACCCACTCACACTTCACACTGACACACAGGCACACCCCCAGACTAGGCCTCTGGCCCCAGGGCTGCTCCTCCTTCCTCCAAGAGGTGCCCTCTCTGCTGCTTCCTGCACCAGTAATCCCCACACTGGGGAGGGGCACAGGGCATGTGAGCCCAAACCTGCCTCCTCCTGGGGGGTGGATACTGGTAGAGTCAAAAACTTTGCAAGGAGCCGGTTTCCAGGGAAGCCTTTGCATTTTGAGACGGTGTGTCGGGTGTCCGTGGGTGTGTGTGTAAGAGGGGCTGCCTTTCCCGTGGCCCTGTGAGTGAGCATCCCCCCGTGCAGATTGTGTGTGAGAACCCTTCTGCATCCCTGGCTGTGCCTGGGAGTCCGAGAGAATATTATATTCATGGCGAGGTAGAGGGTGGGAGTGAGAGAGCAAGCAGGAGCAAGAGGAAGAGTGACAATGCATGGGTCAGGGTAACTGGAGGAGGAAGACAGACACAACAAAGGGGGATGGAGAGAGGCTGCAAATAGCCCAGGATCAATACTTGGCTGGCAGCCAAGGCCTCCAGGAGCCAGAGAAACCCTTACAACAGGTCCCCAGGGTAGCCCCCGGTGCTTCCCAGGCTTGTGGGCTGCCCCTTCCCGGTCTCCCTCCCCTCCAACCGGCCCAGCCTCCGGGGAATGCGGCTGACCTAGGGGCCAGGCCCCGGGAAGCCAAGCCTGGGTGAGATGGGGGAGGGGGCACTAGGCAGCTCTCCTCTCCTCCCCTCACCCTCTCCCAGCCTAAGGTGTGTGGTGTGATGCGGTGGGGGGGGGGGAGGGAGTAGGAGGGGTATCCACTTCCTAAGTTGCTCTTCTCTTCTGTTTGGGTTCAAGCGTCTTTAATCCCTAGTTCTGACCTCTCCACCAAAGCTTCAGCTCCCACCCTCAACGATTCAGCCAGAACCTGCTCCGCTCTGCCTTACCTGGTCTGGGAGTCCCTGGCGGGGAAGCCTGGTGGCTGCCGGAGGGACAGAGTGCTGTGGTTTCTGTGTCCGTGTCCATGTCAGTGTCTGTGTGCATCGATGTGCGTGTGCTGTCTGCTTGCAGCACCCGTTCCCTCACTCAGCAGCACTGTCAGCTTTTCCCTTTAATACCACCCTCCCCACATACTCCCCCCTAGACACCTGGGGAAATCGCCCCGCCCTCTAATGAGGTCACACATGCTAATGAGCAGTGATGTCAGCGGGATTCCCTCCTTTCTGCCCACCCCTTTCCTTTGTGTCGCTTCCCTCTGGGAGCACACACTTTGCGGAGTCTGGTTAAGACGTGAAAAGAACAAAGTCTGAGGGGTAGAAGAGAGAGGTTCAGAGAAGTGGGGCGAAGGGTCAGTGGGTGAAGGAAGTGAGGATGATGTGGGTGGGAGGGGACGGAGGCAGGGTCTTTCTCTAGGAGCCAGGACTTGTTGTGTATTCCCTGCCCCCAGCCCGGTGTCCAACCCAGGTGGGTGCTCAGTGCTAAGTGGAGGAGCTAAAGGCAGAAAGAATAAAAACTGAAAGCTGATCTGTAAGGCAAACAAAAGGTACGCATGTGGGGGATGGTAAAGCCACCCTGCCACCAAGCTCCGGCCAAGCTTTCCTTCCCCATACTCCTGCTGGGCTGACCCAACAAACTGCCATTTCCCAGCCTGGCTCCTAGGCAGTTGTTGAGGGTTAGAGATGGCTGCTTTGCTTGAGTAATTTTATTTTGTCACTAGATTGAGGTTGCTGCAAGTGGTGTGAGGATTTCCTCCCATTCTCCCTTCCCTTCTATCTTAAGGAGAGGTGGGAGACAAGACAGCCTTCTAGAAGTTCTAATCCCAAGGGGGGGGGAGGGGAGGATAGGGAAGCTATTGCCCTGGGCATCCACCAGGCCTTCTGGGCTCCAAGAGGCAGACACAGTGCAGTCTCTACCTCTTTGTGGGAGACCAGGGTGGGAGACTGCTTTACTGCCCAGTTCCCTTCCTTCAGGCTCTTGTTTTTCTTTCTGACACCTGCTGGCACCGAAACACACATACTAACTTACGTCTTCCCATACCACTTTTGCTAGGTGTGTGCTAAGCACCCTCTTGTTATTACCTCCTTTCATCCTCATGACCCTAAGGTTCAGAGTGGCAGGTGGGTGACCTGCCCCCACATCAATCATGCATGCAGCTGGAAAATGGACGCTGAGTCCCTCCCAGATCTTTCCAGTGTCAAGGACTGCTTTTCATCTCTGTGCTGTGATCTCTTTCATTTATTGAATATTCCAACTGTCTGCTATTACTTGGGACAATATTACAATCTTGGGGTTTATTTATTTTTTTTAGTAGAACTGGGATTCTAGTCCAGAGATGTGGGGGGTGGGAGGATTCACCAGAGATAGAGTGGGGAGCAGAATTCAGTGCTTTTCTATTTTTTAAAGAAGAGATGTATTTGTTTATGCATACAAGAACTGGAGTACAGGTCAGAGGTGTGTGTGTGTGCAGGGGTGCAGTGAGAGGATTCACCAGAGTGGGGAGCAGAACAGGCAGATGATCTACTGAAATACACTGCTGAAGGGAGCAGTGGGCAGGTCAGGAGAGGTCTGCTTGTGCCATTCAGGTTGGCTCCCTGGCTGGGGAACTTGAGCTGCAGTGGCTGTGGGTAGCCTCATAGTACTGAGCTTTACCCTGTCCTGCACCAGGGAGGTCCCCTGGGTGCTTTTCTAATTGAAAAGGCAAATAGCAATCTTGGGACAAAGGTGCAATGACACCTGAGTTACCTGGAAGTCACCTACAAGGTAACACTATGGGGTCCAGAGATAGCAGAAAAGAACCTGAACAGCTAGAATATTCACACCCTCTATTCACTGGATACTCTGCAGACCTCAACCCCAGCAGATTTAGCTTTACTCACAATTTTAATTGTGTGCTCCTGGACACACAGGTTAGAAGCACATTTACAGCAGCAAGTGACCTGCTAGCCTGGTAGCCAGGGTAATGCCACAACAATTTCAAAGCCATCCTAAGTGTTTAAGAAGTGGTCGAAGGTCACTTGGCATAAAGGCAAACAGCTTCCCTAACACTGCTAGAGCTGTTCTGAAAATGCTGCTGCAGAGAAGTCACTGGTTTCTATGAATGACCCTCAGCTATCCAGGGCAATCTGTATTAAATTGCAGATGCACTGTATGAGTGTAATGTTTTCAAATAACTACCTTTCAAGGTGAAATTTTAAGCGTCTTGAATTACACTTTAAAACAGAGCTCTATGTATCTGGAAAGCTCACTTAGGTAGTTGGATTCATCTCAAATAGTATGAACCAGGATCTGCAGACCCCCACAAGGACTCTTGACCTTGATTTCTGTTGGTCCTCATTCTAGAGCCTCAATCTAGGTGAACAACCATCACCTTCATCCCACAAATAGGAGAGGGCTGGGAATGTTATCCCATTGTGCACCCACTTGTATCCCTCCCCGTGGAAGGGGAAGTTCTGCAGAATTTTGGGGTAAGGGTGAGATTTTAGAACTGAGACCTCTCAGGTTTAAATCTGCCTCTCAGGACTGATCTAATCCTGAAACTTCTCTGAAACTGCTTTTGAACCTGTTAATCGGGGGGTTATGATGCCCAAGGCATAACTTAAGGGTTAGTTCTATGTGATAAAAGACCTGGCATTTAGGGGCCTCCCTGAAGGCCTAGGGGTTAAATCTCAGTGCTGTCACTGTGGTGGTGGCCTGAGTTCGATCCCTAGCCGGCTGGGGAGCTGACCTACATGGCACAACAGGCCTCTCCTGTTTCGGCCTGCTGCTCTCCTCAGCAGTGTATTTCAGTAAATCTGCCTGCTTGGCTTCCCAGTCTGTCTCTGGTGAATCCTCTCACACACACCCCCACACCTCTGGCCTACATCCTAGTTCTTCTATGGAATAATAAGTAAATAAAGTATTTTTTAAAAAAGATCTGGCATTTAGCAGTTTGCCTGAGGATTTGATGCTCCCACAGCCTCAGGCTACATAGCTAGGGGAACTTCTCCCCTCCCAATAGGGCCTGGAGTTGACTTAGGCTCAAGATCTGCTCCTGAGTTTGATATCTGCTGATTCTTAGCCTGATTTGTCTTTTACTTTTTTGTGCTATGAGCAACACCTACCCCAGTGCCCCAAGTCATAGGGTATAGGGATACCCTAATATTGGGCCCTGTGGATACTAGTATTTCTCCAGATAGGATATGAAGTTTCCTCATTTCTATTTCTGGGGCCATGGCGAAAAGTAACTTGTGTGACTGCTCCCACTGTCCCGCCCTCAAGTAGGTAGGACTTAGTTTCCTTATACTGCCCCACAGGCCAACCCCCTTCTCCAACTCAGCAGACAGAAGTGGTGTCACTGCTTGCACCTGCAAAGTGTACCTCAAAACTTCCCCCAGGCCCATTACCGTATGGGCAGAAGCCTTCCTAGTGAACTCTTCCCTCAGGTCCTCTCTCTGGCATTCCATATTGAGAACATTCTTTAAGCTTAAAACTTTATCTGCTTTCAAGTTACAAGACACCACTTCCCCCCACTCCCACCCCCTTTAGAGGGAAAAGAACTGGACACTACAAGGAATAAGGATATGAAGCTGAATGTTTTGATGTGACTGTGGTGCAAGAAGCTAGGGACAGGGCAAAGGTCTGGAGATGGAGCCATTGGGAGGGAACCCCCTGCTCCATAGGTGAGACCCAGGAACTATTTGCATTTGGGAAGGAAGCCCCAAAGGAAGACCTGTATGTAAGGGGCAGGATCTCTGAAGACCTTTCCCCAATCTCAGGTGAGGGTCTGGAGAGAAAGAAGCTTGTCTACCCAGAGCCAAGATGTTAAATGCACCCCTTCCCTAGGCTTCCCTGGGAAAGAGGAAACAAGGAATCAATAATGACATGAAGATTCTGTGTGTCATCAATGGAATGGCTCGGCTAGGCAGAAAGGGTAAGTGCCCATCTGAAGGGGAACTTTGCGCCCTGCAGACTGGGTCAGGGGCTACCTTAACTCTGCTCTTGGGAATCCATGCACAGCCCCGCCAAACCGCTATCTCCATAGCACTGGGTTTCCTTTCACTCTCTAGATGGCTTGCCACCATGTTTACCAGAGTTTGTTTTCAATTTCTCAGATAAACCCTTCTTCCTGACCCTTTCCATTCTTGCTGCTGCTGTGGCCCTCTTTTTTCAGAGCTCCAGGACCAAGAGCCCACTCCCTCACATCTGCTAAGCTTGCTTCCCCTATGGACTCTCATTTGGCCTAGAACTCACAACTCTATTCCAAAGACTGTCAAAATTCATTAGAATCTAGCTTGAACACTCTTCCCAGGCCTCTTGGATTTGGCTAAGGTGATGCCGGCATCTTTACACCCTGAATGTTTGTGATTTTTCTCTTGATTCATATTTGCCTACTTTGAGGCATCCTGACTGAGAGCTCATCTGTCTGCCTAGAACAGACTGTAAGTGCTCAGCAGTGGTGGAGGGCAGGAGTCATGGGCCCTGTGTTCCATCGGGGACAGTCTGCTCCTGTGATCTGTGCTGAGAGCACGCCATAAATGGGAGCCTTCCCGGCTGCAGGGCCCAGCTGGCTCACCAGGCTTCTGGCCTGGCAGTGAGTAAAAAGGCTTGGTGCTACCCATGGTGTCAGTCACTGTAGAATTGAGGCTGGGCTGTAAGTAGAGAAGGTTTGTCTTTGGGGGTTCCTATAGTTTTCTTACCTCCTCAGTGGTAAGGAAGTAAAAGTCAAGGCAGGTGGCTAGACGATGAATAGGAAGAGAAGGTTTCCATAGGGAGGAGGAAAGAAAAGTGAGCATAAACTGAGCTGGGGAGAAAGGTCGAGAGGCAGGGCTCAGGCTCTGATTTCTTTATTTTCAACCTTGACTTCCTAGGCAATGACCTAGCTATCGGACAAAAGCATTTGTTGTGCTCTTTATATGAGCCAAACCCTTTATGAGGGATCATGGTTGGCAAAACCTCAGACCCTGCCCATATCCTCCCCTTGGGGGCTGAAGGTCTCTAGCCAATTGGCATTCTGGTGCTTAAGGCCACTTTTGGGTGGGGTTTGGCAAGGCTGGAGTGTCCAGGCCTAGGACCGTTCGAGGATTTTACTTTTGAGAAACAAATGGTGGTGGTGTGGAAGGAGGTGGAGACTGAGGTCCCACCATGTGCAGCAGGGGCTGTGTGTGAGCCCTCTCCCTAGCTTTCCTGCAGCTACAGAGGGTCGACGGAGGTTCACCAGTCCCCTCAGGTGAGGGACTGGGAAGAAGTATGGCAGGGAAGCTGTATCACCCTCTGAAGGGCTGTTGCCTATGCCTACAGTGCCCAGGAGAGCAGGTTCCCTCAGGCGAGCAGTGGCTCATCCTCTGCCTCGACCACCCAGACCTCTGGCTCAGCCAGTGGCACTAGCAGCACATCATCCTCGTCTTCTGGGGGCAGAACTGTTGTGTGGGGTCCAGGTGGGGTCCGAATTGGTCCTGGGGGCCGCAGGTTGGGCAGGAGGCGGCCTCGCAGGGCCTGCACCACTCCGGACAGCAGTGATGGCTCCAGAGGTACTGCGGGCAGAGGCACTGGGGCCTCAGGGACAGTGGGGAGGGCTGGAGAAGCACTGGCAGATGGGAGGGGAGCCTTGACAGGCAATGGGGGTGCCTGTTCCCCGTCCTGCCCACCCACGGCCCCACCCTCAAGGGCCGGACCAGTGCTACTATCTAGGCCCTCTGGGGGAGTGGCCGAAGGTGTGACATGGGATCTGCTGTCAGGGGTTCGGACTTGGGGGCTGGTTCTAGGAAGCAGGCCCCAGCGGCGGAGACGGCGTACCAGGCGGCGTACAGAGCGGCCACGTTGGCGGCGGCGGGTGCCCGAGGCACCCCCTGGCGTCATATCCTGGCGCAAAATCTGTAGCAGGGAACGCAGGTTGCCCAGTACTGAGTTCTGCAAGAGTAAGCAGATGTCAGAGTCAGAGAGGTAGGAAGGCCAGGTGCCTAAAAGAAGGGTACAGGGCCCTCCCTGGTGGTGCAGCGGGTTAAAGCTCCGCACTATGAAGCTATCGGCAGCCACTGAGGCACAACTTTGATCCCCAGCCAGGGAGCTGACCCACATGGCACAGCAGACCTCTCCTGACCCGCCCACTGCTCCCCTAGGCAGTGTATTTCTGTCAGTCTGCCTGTTCTGTTCCCCACTGTCTCTGGTGAATCCTCTCACCTTTACCCTCCCACACCTTTGGCTTATACCCCAATTCTTGTATGCATAAATAATCTTTACCAAAAAAAGAGAGAGAATACAATGGCAGGGCCACAGTGTGGGCCTGGAGGGTGACTTACGTCATTTGGGTTCTCTGTAGGGAAGTCCTCCACAGGTGGGATGGCACCTTGGGCAATGAGCTGTCCATAGGAGGGCGGTGCCTGCTGCTGCACAATCTCAGCCTCCATTCGGGAGAGGGGGGCAAAGATGCTGGAAGGAATGAGGACTGCGGTCACAGGCGTCCTGGCCAGAGCACCCTGTCCTAGTCTGGACAGGCCTCCTTCCTCCACACCCAGGCCAGGACGCAGGGAGTGTGGCCAAGGTTTTCCCTGGAGTCACAGAGATCCCCTTTCTTTGAGATTACTTTCAGGATCTAGGCTTGTTCTTCTTTAGAGAACCCCAGAAAGCGATCTAGGCAATCCTGTGAGCCAACCCGTAGCTGGTCACCAGCATCCATCCCCAATGTGGGCACCCTGATGGTCTCCCTTAGCTGTATGGGTCCTGTCCCACCCCCAACCCCCTCCTTGACAGCCTACCACTCCCACTAACCTGTACTCCTGGGTACGAATGGCATAGAGTTTGCAGGTGCAGCCCAGGGCAATGACCAGCAGCAAGCCACACACCAGGCTGCCGATGACTGCTGCCGTAATGACCTTGCGGGGCAGGGCATAGGAGCAATCCCACTCATCGCTGCCGTCGGCACAGTCCGGCTGCCCATCACACACCCACGTCTCATACACACACTTCTCATCCCGGCATCGGAAGTTGCCAGGCTGGCAGTGCCGGCAGCGTCTCTCATCTGCCCCATCTGCACAGAAGGTCTGGTAGTTGCAGCGGTCAGCAGGCAGGTAGCAGGCTGTAGCACCAGGTGTGCCGGCAGCCCCACAGGGGAAGTGTCCGGGTGGGCAGCTGGGGCAGTTCTCCTCATCTGTGCCATCGGCACAGTCCCATGAGCCATCACAGCGCTGTGCCTCACTGTAGCAGCGCTCACCTAGGCCCTCACTAGCCCCCAGACCAGCACCTAAGCCGCAGGGTTGGTCCCAAGGCAAGCAGTAGCCCCGCACATGGTAGGTCGCATTGAAGCCCCGACCACTGCTCCAAGCAACTGAATGATAGGCCACAATGGCCTGTCCCGACAATGTCTCCACGGTGACAGCCTTGCCATTGCTGAAGTGTGTGAGGCTGCGCAGCAACCGAGGGGTTTCGGGAGGCCCAGGGCCATCATACACATGCACTGCATCTCCATAGCCCAGGTCCAGGGCTGTGAAGCGCACAGCCAGGCGCCGACCATCATGGGGGTCCAGCAGCCAGAGGCAGGACTGGGGGTGGGAGGCTGAGGCCATGTGTGAATATCCAGGGGAAGAGAACACCCCATAGAAATCTTCCAAGGTGTGATTACAAGATAGAATGGGGCCAGGAGCTGGGGTCAGGTCAGGGAAGGGGTCAGAGCTGCAGCCAGCCTCATCAGAGCCATCACCACAGGCGTCAAATCCATCACAGCGCTGGGTCAAGGGCACACAGCGGTGGTTCAGGCACTGGAATTCTTCTTGCAGGCATATCAACCAATCTGCAGAGGCATTATGGAGAGGAGCTGTGAGCAATGGATTTGGCAGGATCCTCCCCTCCCTCTGGTTTGCACTGCTTGTTTTGAGGCCTCCATGGACATCCCAGTCCAGCTCACCTTGGTTGTAGGAGAGCAGGAAACCCTGGCCCATGGGTGCTCTGGCCCCAACATAGCTGTAGGTGATGGTGACGTTACCACCTGGCAGCTGCAGAGGGCTGGCAGGTGCCTCACACAGGGAGATCAATGGCTGGAGAGGGGACCGTAGGATTAAGCGCTCTGAGCCACAGGCCAGGTGCAGTTTTTGGAACCTAGAGAGGTTGAGGAAAGCAGGACATATTCCTTATCACTGTTGGCTACTTTCCCCCAAATGCTGTCAGATCCCTCTTCCCTAAGAAGCACAAACACCTGTTTATATCACAATCCAAAAAGCTAAAACAAAACTTTAGTCAATCAAATTCCTTTGTAGGCAATGGTGAGAGTCTCATGGCGAGTGGTACCATCAGACTAAGATACAATCCAGGACCGTGGTAAGACTGACTTGTGTTCAGAGGCTGGGTTCAGAACAGATTTATTGACTTCCAGTTGTTGTAGCATTGTCATTTAAGTACAGCATTCATAATAAGTGGCCATCAGCATATAGTCAATTAACGAGAACCCACTCTCCCCTCCCCAGGGTCCACTGGTGAGACCTGTGATCCCATGGCGTTCTTACTGCTATGCCCAACACCCGCTCTCTGTCTGCCTGCTCCCTTCACCTGCCACTTTGTGAGTAAACTCAGGGGAAGTGAACTGTATGATACAAATAGTCAAGTATTTGTATCAAGCTGCAGCCCACTGTCAAAGGAACCCAGGGAGACCTGGAATGTTTTAAAGATCTGGGGAGGCTAAGAAAAGTTCTAAGCTGATAAATAACTCTGAGTCCCAAGCAAGAAATGATAGGCCTCCCCGGTGGTGCAGGGGTTCAAGTGTTGGTGCTATAAAGCTACCCGCTGCTGCATCATGAGGAGCTGACCCACATGGCACAGCAGACCTCTCCTGTCTTGCCTGCTGCTCCCCTCAGCAGTGTATTTCAGTGAATCTCCCCACTCTTTCTCTGGTGAATCCTCTCACTTCCCACCCCCTCTGGCTTGTACCTCAGCTCTCTTATATATAAATAAATCTATCTAATTTGTTTAGACCTCCCTGGCCCAGATCAAACTCATGCTGCAGTAGCTGCAGATAGCTTCACAGTGCTGCAACTTAACCTCCTGCACTACCAGGGAGGCCCCATAAATAAAGATAAACCTTAAAAAAAAAAGAAAAAAAGAAAAAAAGAAAGTACAATGAACGGAAGGACTCCTCAGAGGAGTCATCTTGAAGCCCCAGGACAGTTTCTAGAGTGACTTTTGTCCTTCAAGGATGATAAGGATCCCCCCTGAATGTCTGCCCAGCCCAGCTTCAATTCACTGTGTCTGGCCCAGAACCAACTGAGCTTTTAGGACAAACCAGGTCAAATCAACTACTGTTCTCCTACTGACGGGAAAGGAGATTCCACAGTGAAGTGATGATCCCCGAAGGCAATCCTCTGATGGTGGGGCCCAGGGTTGGGTAGAGGAATAGGGTCTTGCCTGATGCTCACCTGACTGTTACAGTTTGCTCCTTGCTGCCCAGGATGAGCCAGGTGCAGTTGGCAGGGGCGCTTCGGCTGTCCCGCCCCAGGGGCCTCTGTAAGGTGCCCTGCACTTCCAGAAGCACTGCTGGGGGGTCCTCACAGGCTGGAGAGAGAAGAATGGCGGGACACTGATAGAGTTCCTTAGCGTCCCATCCCTCTCCAGACTTGAGGCCTCAAGGGCCTGGGAGCTTCAGGAGTCACATATTCAGCAAAACAAAACAACACGGACCAACCACGGGGGTTGCACCCACATTGGGCCTCAGTTTCCCATCTGTAAAGGGGGGATGATCTCCACACTAAAACTGTAGTAGGTACTACAGGAAGCAGGGAAAAGAGTATCTTTGTCTTGGGGCCTCCCTCCCGACCGCCCGCGGGCGCCCCAGGGGCACCCTCCACTCACCAGGACTTGGGAAAATGAACCGGTCTGGATGGGCTAGCGCGCCGCCTGGAGGAAGAGCACGAAAAGGCAGGAGAGGGTCAGCCACCCTCGGTTTCGCTCACCTGAGGCTCTCGGGGAGAAAAGGGCGCCGGCTGGGACTTCCGGGTCATTCCCGGGG